TCTTGATTTTTTGTTTTTATTATAGTGAACATTGGTTTTATGACCAGAAAAAAAAAAATTACTGAATAAAACCTATGTCAAATTTTTGACAAGCAAAAGACATAAGAACCATCTGCTGACAATAGTTTTTACTGAATTCAGTGTAATCATAAGATAGAGAGCTGTGTACCCCTAAATATATACTGCAGCCTGGCTGGGGAAGCCTCAGATGTGCAGCAGTAATTGCAGTTCCACAGATACGTATATCTCGCTGTCCTTTATTCAGATATCAAAATTGTGTTGTAAATATCAACAACTCCAAATTTGTTAAGTAAGCCTCCTTTCCCTTCCTCCAAGTAGGTGGAGAGTCGATTCCCTCTTGGGTTTCTGTGTGAAATAAGCTACCTCCTTGTTCTCTTGATTTTTGTTTTTCTTTGGTGCGTCTATTTAGCATGGAGAGAAAAGGGAAAAGGTGGGAATAATAATCTATATCAGTTTGGCATTTGGCATGGATCTATTTAATATGTTTTAGGTAGAGAATGACAGGAGAGCAGATTTATGAGCCTGATGTCTGGAAAACCTCAGGATCTCATAGGCACGGATGCTCACAGTCTGCAAAACATTGCTGTGGCATGCTTTCATACGTCTTTTCTGACATCCACACGATTAATCTGCAGGAGGCTTGCAAGCCAGGATGATTTTCTAAAGATGTCTGAAAATGGCTCTTGGCAAACTCACTGTGAATACACATTTTCTGAAGATTCAAAGTATGAAACAAACAGGACAGATTGCTGCTCTTTTAGTATGGCACAAGTGACCAGTTTCTGAATCTTTGAAGACTTGGAAAAGGTGCAGCAATTAGGGACTTTTGCACATCCAGACCATTTTCCCAGTATTTCAGGCAGGGAGCTCTTCCTAAATGCCATAAAACAGTGGGGAAGGCAGCCCACAGCTGAAAGGGAAGGGTGTCGGCTTCAAACACACTCATGTCAGGTGTTAGTCGATGTTTGTGCACATAGATGGTTTCTATCTTGTTCTCCAGGAAATCCTGGAAAGGCATTTTAGGTTCTTTTTTTCTCAACTTGGTAATAGTTTCATCTCTACGAAATGACAATGACAGTCATTAAGATATTTACAGTGGAAACTCATTATATAATCAAATGTGTGAGATACGAGGGTACTTCAAAGAGTTTGTGGAAAAATAGAATCGAGAGAGAATACAAATCTCTCCATGAACTTTCTGAAGTACCCGTGGACAGCATCCCTCCTCAACTGTGGTCTCTCTTTCTGCAGTGTCAGTTACCTGTGGTCAACCATGGTCCAAAAATGCCAGAAATAAACAATTGATAAGTTTTAAAGTGCACTGTTGCGAGTCGTGTGATGAGATCTCGCACCTTCCTGCTCTGTCCTGCCCATCTTGGTTATCACATCGACTGTCATACGATCTCTGTGCTTGTGTTCAAGTCACCCTTATTTTACATAATAATGGCCCCGAAGTGCAGGAGTGGTGATGCTGGTATATTGTTATAATTGTTCTATTTTATTATTAGATATTGTTGTTAATCTCTTACTGTGCCTCATTTATGAATTAGACTTTTAGATACACATGCATGTATAGGAAAAAACGTGCTATCTCTGGTTTCAGGCATCTGCTGAGGGTCTTGGAACATAGCCCCCTGTGGGTAAAGGGGGGCCTACCCTACCTACTTTCTAATGTGTTTATACAGTATCAGGATCCCATCCTTCTTACTGCTTCTAGACAGGTAATTCCAGTGGGAAGAAACTGGGGGAAGGGTAGGGAAGCCTAGTGCATCAGCACAGCCCCTGGAATCCAACTGGATGGCTTCAGTCTTGGCTCCACTGTTTGTGAGCTGTGTGAGCACCACCACGCTGCTGTCTCTAGGTCCCTTCTCCTTCACAAGAAAGCTGCTGCCAGCCTCCTGATCAGGGGAGGGAGGGTTCTCACTTGCTTTTGTGGCTGTGCGCCCTCTGGCTCTGGCTAGACAGTGAAGGCTGACATCCCTGGAGGCCTGGCAGTGGCAGAGAGCTGACTCTCTTGCAGGCACCCTGGAGGTTCCTAGCCAAGCCCCTCTTTCCCGGGGTTCCTGTAATGGGGCAGTGGCCACGCTATTTTGGAAGGCTTTTGCAGGTCCCTCCTTGGCCCACGCACAGCTGGTGGTATACCTCCAGCCTTTTTTCCTGAATTCTTACCGCTGCTCCAGATGGCCCTGTTGAATGGACTCAGGATGACCCCACAGCGGTGGCTCTCGGGGATGTATGGGAAGCACACCACCACCGTGTAGGATACTACACCCAAAGCAGTTGGTCAGTGCCTCTCTCTCCCAGGTGACTTCCTGGGCAGGAGTCATCAAGCCCCAGTTTACAAGATCCCCAACTGCAGGGACAGCTCCTCAAGCTCTGCAGGAAGTTTCAGTGGCACTGCACTCTTTAATTGGTCAGCAACATTCTCGTTTTTTCTTTAATGTTTATTGAGGCTTAGGAGCATCTAATTGTTAACCTGGACATTTAAAACAATGTTTCTGTATTTTGGTTCTGTGAGTTCCTGTGTTACATTCCGTCCTTAGCTCTAGTCCCCTGCCCTCTGCACTCTGGGCGTGTGTATCTCGATTGCTGGTGCTGTGGGAGGCTGGCCCAGAGCTGGAGAAAGTCTAAGTGATTTGAGTGCATTATCTTTTAATCTTTGTGCACACATTGTGGAGGCTCCATACACAGACGAGTTCTCCTACAGTTGTAGGAATAGAAGCCTTCCTGTCTTTTCTGTCTTAACTTTTCTTACTCTAAGATCAGGTAATAATTTTATTTATTTACATATTTTTGGGAAAAGGACATGTGAAGGACGTCTTTGAGTTTCATTGCACCCTGCAAATGTAAGGTTTCCTCCTCCCTGCTCTCAATGCGGAGGAAAACAGTCTGTAGCCTCAGACTTCAGCTCCTCAAACTGCTTCTTAATCCTACCAGATTTTAAATAGGGATTTTTCTTATGGAGGCACCTTTCTCCTTTAAAATATCATATTATTTAAAAAATCTCACCAACCCTTTGTAAGGAGTTTGACTGTTTTTGAACAATCTTATGGTGCAAGACTAGAATTTATGTAAAATATTTACCAGACTTGTTTTGAAAGAATTGAAGGGTTTTGAAAAATTAAAAGTTTAAAATTGAGTGTATAGACTAGGTTGAAAGAGATCATGAAAGCCATGTAGGAATTTTATATGATGGGTTGTTTGGCCAAAGAAATATAGGAAACACTAGTGTGAGCAAAGTTAGAATAGCCCAGTGTTTATAGAGTCCTCAGGTTGATCAGTTACAGGCATAATGTCTTTGGATAGAAGACTGCAGGGTTTCTGAGAGTCTTTAATATGCATTGTGAATATTATGCATATTAATGCATAATATTATTATGCATATTAATGCATAATATTATTATGCATATTAATGCATAATATTATTATGCATATTAATGCATAATATTATTGTGCATATTAATACATAATATTATTATGCATTAGGAAGAAGAGTTATAGTTTTTGAAAAAAATCTATAAAGAAAAGTTACAGTTTTTGAAAGGGTTTTCAAACTCATTAGACATTGGTCCTCCTGTCCTTTTTTCCATGTAACATTTAGTTATATCTCTGTATCCCTGTTAGAGTTATAATTACTAGTGATATCTCCTAGTATTTTGTGGTCCATTTTAAGAAAAACCAATGTGCTCTGAACGTTTTTGTTGTATAGGTGAGAAAATTGAGGTGTAGAAAGATGAAATAATTTAGTCTCATGGCTAATTGAAAGCACTGGGTATTAGAACCCCAGTGAGGGAACTTCCCCAGACAGCAGTTTTTCCATTTAAACTTCATTATCACCTCCCAATGTGAAATGTTACTTTCTGAATTTATATACTTCCTAATGAGCGGTGTTTTTTTCAGTCCCCATCGATAAATGTCAATTCGTATTTTAATGTCTCTGGTATGTAAGTGTGTGTGTATTTGCATATGTTTTAAATGTAACATGAAGATATTTTGTTCTTAATCCAGCATTTTTTGAGCTACTATTAGCTTACCTTGATTTTTGAGTTGGACAATCACATAAATGTGCAATCCGTTTTGTCTTTTGCAGCGGCTCTAATTAGAGGAAATCGTAAAAACTGTGCTCAATTTTCTGGCTCCCTTGATTGGTTGATCAGCAGATTGGAAAGACTGGAAGCTTCTTCTGGTACGTTTTCCTGTTTTCTCCTCTGTGTGATATATTATTCCATTTTCTTCTATTTCATGTCTTCTAGGAGATAAAGACAAACTCTGATATTCAATGTAATATATATGTTTTCCTTTTAACAGAACATATTTATTGATAAGGTCATTAGTATTTTCATTAGCTATTTCTGAATAGCAATCTAGGAGTGTCCTGAAAGCCACCTAAAGAGCCAGAATTTTCATTCTTTTTCAAATCAGTTACTCCTAATGTACTCCATAAACGAAAAAGATTGGTTTCAAATTCTCATTTTTTCCCCTTGTGTTCAAGAGATTATTTGGACAGATTGGGAGAAAAAATTAGTTTTCCAAATCATATGGCACAATATTTTATTTAAAAGGGATTTAGTAAATACTAATAAATGGCTTGGATAGTAGTACAATAGTTATAGGCAATCAACCTGATATGTGCCTCTCTAACAAGTATGGTAGTTTATTTTGATGTTGTGGATTTTGGTGATTACCTGGCCTGCCTGAACTCTCCAGCACCACACACTGCGTCAGTGGCACCAAACTAAATCTAAGCTCCTCCATTGGTTTGCCCAGGATTTAATGAGTTGCCCTTCTATGACGCTAATGTCCCCCTTTTGATACTTATTTTTCCTCTTGGTCTCCTATACTAGTAATGAACTTGTTGAAGGTAGTGGCATGATTTCATTCACCTTTGTTTTCTCTGGATCTACCATATCATCTGGCATCTAATAGGTGCTTAATAGTATTTGTCGAGTGAAGGAAAGTTTGTTTGAATTCACGTTTAAAAAAAAGCCACTATCTATTCTGAAATAATTCCACAACTTTTGCATGATAAAAACCCACTCGGGGACAGGTTTGTTGGAATTGAATGAATATATACAGATAGTTCTGGTCTAAGAGAGTAATTTTAAGTCACAGAGCAAAATTTCAGAGTTTAAGATACTGGAGGAAGAGAAATTTGAGTCACAGTGAGTTTTAAGGCTAGATTGATGGGTGGCAGAAAGAGGGTAGAGATGGAGATTGTTGTAATTAAAAAGGTAGAAAACTTAGGAGATGACACTGTTCAGGGGATCACGACGTGAATGAGATGACTATGCATTAATTGCAGAATGTATTAAATACAGTAAAAATGGAATAACGAAGAGGGAGAAGTCAAATTAGTGGTAACAAGATGATGACACAGATTCCCAAAATGAATAAATTCTTGGGACAAAGTGTCCAGAATCATTGGCAAGCTCCAGTAGATATAAAAGAAACTCTGCTGGTCTCCTTTTTGGCCGCACTGAGTGTTAGAAAGAGAGGGGAACAGGTCAGCCTTCAGATCAGGGGGTTAATGCTAGATGAATCAATGCCCTAGCAAGTGCTCAAATCAAAAAGGAGAGAAGGAAAGAACCCAGCTGAGCATCCTTTACAGTCAGCCAAGCGGAGCCCAGCGTTTAAAGAGTTACAGGCATAGTGTCTTTGGATACAACCTGTTATTTGTTGCTGCCTTTTCCTAGTCGGGCTGTTGGTTGTAGGCATCTGTGCTTCAAAGGGAGCCCTGCACTCTGAGATAGAGAAAGGCCCAAGGAGGAAGGACTCTTCCAGAGTGTTCAATCTAACACGCTCACTATAGAGGAAAGGACATTGAGGCACAGAACATTGTGAGTTTGAGATCCTCGGATTAATTCTTGTTCCAGCTGAGATTAAAACTCTTATTCACTATACTTTGTGGCCTCCTGGTTTATAAGTATCTGAGATACGTTTCACTACACAGTTTTCTTTCTGAGGTTACATTTATGCTTTTAGGGAACTGTTTTTGCTTCCCAGAGGAAGGAGAGTGTTGTTTAGTTTTTGGAGACTGCAGCAATGATGATCTGCACATGTATTTGTATAGGATTTATTTCAATCGTCCTTTATTACTTACTGAGTGCCTACACATGAATCATTTTATTTTCTCACTGAACACACATTCTCTTCAGCTTGTGAGTCTCCCAGCTGCAGAATCAAACTGGAAAATCCTCGAGTGGAAAAAGGGAGGAAAGTGGGGCTAATTTATCTTCCTGGGATCTAGAACCTTCTACCCTTTTCTACCTTGGCAGGTCTCCAGTGGCTTCACATAGGGATAGATGTGGGTGTCTGTGTGACTGTGGGTGTGTATGTGTGGGTGTGTGTATTTTAAATTCTACCCTGCTTTTTTTGATTGTTTTGGTTGAGGGTTGGTCTGAAATAACTAGTCTGCCATTGCTGGAAGCAGAAAAATGTCCTGGATTGTTTTTAAAAACCAAACATTAGAAATGAAGTGATGATCTGTAGGTGCATAGTTAAATTTTATTACTATAATATTTTCAGGTATATAATAAATATTGAAAGGAATTGTTTAGATTTATATCCTGAAACATGTTTAGGATATATTATGAAGCAAAAATTCATTTGTAGAATGAATGTGACGGGATATATTTTTGTAAAAATATTAATAATAATAACAAAGGAAGAGAAAGGAAAAAGGAAGCCAGGCAGGAAGGAAGGGGAAAACTCCATGTAATAAGTACACCTGCCTCTACCTGCATAGGATATAGAAGGATATGCTTTGCTGTTTACCTTCGTGACCAAGGAGTTGGATGGAATTGGAAGAAGGAGGAGGTTAGAACACTAATTAGGTTCCCCAGGACTGGGGAATTGTAAGTCAAAACCTGTGAAAAGTAGACAAATCAGAAGAAGTTGATTAGGCCCAAAGGATCGAAGGTCACATGGAACTAAAGGACTAATGACCACTGTCTTCTTTTCCATCTTACTTTTTTTGTTTTTTTTTTTTTGGGCTCTCTTTCCACTATTCTTTACATCCTACCACTAACATTGAACTGAAGGAGATATTGATAGTTAAAAGAATTTCCTCTAAATTTCAATGACTAATAGACCTCTCTCTAATATTACGACAAAGCAATAAAATCTCAACATCTGCATTCCTGTAAGGGATTTCTCATTTACTTGAATTTACTTTCAATTTTTTTCCCACAACATCGTGGATTTTGGCTCCAGTCATTTCTGTTGCTCATAGTGAGAAAACCAGAAGAAGCTTGTACATATGGATGGAAAAGATGTGTGCGTAGGAAAGTGAACAGCAGGGCTGGAGTGGAGGTCTTTATTTTATTTTTATTTTTATTTTATTTATTTATTTATTTATTTATTCATTCATTCATTTATTTATTTAAATTTTATTTTGTCGATATACAATGTGGTTGGTTACTGTGGCCCATTACCGAAACCTCCTGGAGTGGAGGTCTTTAAAACAAGGCGCTGAGGGAGTCGAGAGGCACGGTTTGCCCTGTGTCTTCTGGGAGCTGCCTGTGGGGGTACCAGAGCCACTGAGGGAGGGACACAGCCCAGCCTCGTGGGCAGGAGGTTCCACACAAACAGATTTGGCTATCCTCACTGTGTGAAAGGTTTTACCTGAAGCTTTTCCCACTGAAGTATCTAGGTATGTCTGGGATCATGACAAGTCTTAGGAAGTCAGAATAAATAGCTATACATAAAATCAGGAAGAAATTCTAATGTTTGTGCAGATTGGCTAATTCAGCACCCTTGGACCATATTCTCACTTGCCTTCTTATGTTTTAAAAGCTGACAAGCTAAATTATCAAAATCTTAATCTCACTTAAAACTGGGTGTGCCCATGTGGCTCTGATCTGGCCTGTCGTACTGGGTAAAGTTCTCGGGAGAGCTTTGCTTCCCAAAGGAAGCCTCTCTAGCAGAAAGACCTGGGTCCGTCCTCAGTCCTTCTGCCAGTAATTAGTAGTCAGCAGCCATCTGCTGACCAGCGTAAGAGAAAAAGCCACATAGGAAGGACTGGGGAGCAAAAAAATGGAAGGAATGTGAGTTGGTCATTGATGGTACGGAACGGATGTACTGGTGACTTGACGGCCCTTTCCTAGTTTCAGCCAGGGTGGTAGGACTGCTCCTTTCTTGCACCTAAATACTGGGTTTATAAAAGGCCTCTTATGATGTACAGTATCTCCAGCAAGGCACTGTGCAAGAGTCTAACTGAAGTGATTGGAGGAGAGATCTCATATTTAATAAGCACTTATGTGTCAGGCACTGTTTTAAGTGCTATAGAAATATTAATCATTTCATCCTTGTGCAAAACCTCTGGGTAGGTACCATTGTCCTCATTTTATAGATAAGGGAATGGAGGTTCAGAGAAATCCAATAACTGAACCAACACAGAGCCGGCTCTCAGCCCAGACAGTCTGGCCCCAGGGTCCGTGATCTCGCTGTTACCCTACTGTGCCGACGCTATAAAGGTTCTTACTCGGTATGAGACTATTAATGGAAATTGAAGTATGTATAATTATATTCATGTGATATGCTCTTGCTTTCAGGTTCAGTTTTCTTTTTCTTCTCTCTCTTTTTTTTTTGGGAAAAAAAAAAGCAAACATAATAATTTCTAAGCAGGCTTTCACCTGATCTCATTTTCTTTGACCCACTTGGTATACTCTTAAAATATTTACGTTGGTAACTACCACTTGCAGAAATGATCAGAGGCCCTAAAGTGAAGAAAGAAAAATGGACGGTGGGGGTGGGTAAAGCAGTCGTTTATAGTGCAAGTGGCAGCAAAAATTATAAGGAGGCACATTAGAATCACCGAGGGATTTAACAAATGCCTATATCCACAGCCCATCCCAAACCAGGTCAATGAGAATCTCATAGATAGAGGGAGCACTGTTGATTTTAAAGCTAGAACCGTGTAGATCGTGTGCCTTAGAGTTAGTCCCCCTGAGAGGGGAGGGAATTGGGGTGTTTACAACCAACATCTGTCAGTCATTGGGTAGTGCTGCTCACAGGGGGCATTAATTCTGTGGTCCCTCCATCTGCCACCGTGGTCAGAGCGAATCATGAAGGAAAGAAACGCAGGAGCTGATAGTTGGGAGTCAGTAGGGATGAGGGTTTGGGCACAGCTCTGGCAGTGGCTCTATGTAGCCAACTCCTGTTTAATTCATTATATGATAGCAAGAC